TGAGTGATATGTGCAAAGGGACCGTAGCTGGTTAGTGAAAGAAAGTGATAGCAACTGTGAGGGGTGATAGGGAGCCATGGGTTGCAAGAGTCACTGGAATGATTACGCCGGTCGGATTGACCTTAGGCTTCACACTTTGGTGGGCGCTGTGGGGCGTGATAAGATCGTAGGTGAAGGTGATAGGAATCTGATAGGAACTGGAAGGGGCCTTAGAACGCGAAACCGCTAAGCGCGTCTCGCCTTTCGCGTTAAGAATGGAAATCTGTCACTTTCGTGGGAATTTTTATGCGAAAAGGGCTTGTATATAATAGTTCATGGCAGAGATCACTAACAAGTGTTAGGAGCTCTAAGGTGGCCAACAAAGGCAAAAGTGCCAGCGACTCTTTGATGTTAGTTCACGCCTCTGATTTTCATCTCCCCTTCTCTGGAGTTAATAGGAAAACCCGGAGAATTGTCCTTCTACACCACGTTGAATGACGCGGCTGTGTGCTCGTCCGGTTTGCGTGGAGTCCACGTTGGATTGATATGTAGCTCACCACTGATTGATTCCTCGATCTGTTGGCGGTCAGTTTCGTTTTCCCCAACACAACCTTAACTCTGTGGTTGAACATGAAGCTCGAGTCAGCAGACAAAGCGAAACACCAGGTGAGGGGTTTGTATGCGTGACTGGATGTTACCGTAAATGAAATGTTACTATGTCGTGTTAGTACTGTCATCCTTACCACTGCGCCAATTAAACTTCCTTTATCTAATGGAGAGGCTCTGTTCAAGCAACTATTCACAGGGAGTTTTGTGTGTAGGCAAACAAACAGAAACGAAAATTCACTCCGGCACCCGGCTCTTACAGTAATCCGGCACGTGTGAATACGCAAATTTTTACCTGTCACATATGCGATGCGTCGAAAAGGAGCTTTGGGCAACTACACGGGACTGGGTGGTGGGGTAGGCCAAGGGGTTACTGTAAGAGCCGAGTGTTCAGTGGCAAACAATACGGGAAAAGTTACAAGGTATCGGCAAGAAAACGGCTCTGGAAGGATAATCCGAGTACGTGCCTAGATTTTAATTTTCCCACTATATCTAGCTCGCTAAGTGCGTCTGTTCGCTTGTCGCTGTGTATGGTTGACCGGAAATTCGTAACAGCTGTCCCCTGCACCTAGAGCATTCAAACTTAGATGAGATACAGGGAGCAGGATAGGAAGAAATGGTAAGTGATAGAGAATAATAACAACTGATAGGAGCTGATAAAAAGCATCGAAGGCGAGAGCCGCAGGATCGGTGACCTCTTTCGTGTAAACGTTGGGGCCCTGGCATCTTGCTGCGTGGAGAGGGTTTAAAAGGGACCGTAGATGTCTAGTGATAGATTTTTTAAAGCTGCTAGAAAATAATGACAAGCCGCAGAAGGTGAGAGGCATTAAGTCTAGAACACCCTTCGTATTAGCACTTGGATTTCGCACTTAGTAGGTTGTGTGGGACGTGAAGGGCCGCAGTGATTGGTGTTAAGGATGATAACAAGCGATAAGGGCTGCAAAAATGCCGTAGAAGACCATAGCCACTAGGTCCGTGACACCCTCCATGTCAACAGAGGAACAATGACATTTCTATAGGTGATGTGGGATGTATTAGGTCGTGGCTACCCTGCGACAGGAACCAGTAACAATTCATAAGAGCTGATAAGAGGTATTGGTGGCAAGAGCCACTTATCAAATAATTTCTAATGCTATTGATAATTACGACCTAGCTTCGACTCCTTCATTAGTTTCATTCAATAAGACAAGTGAGGGCAATGATGGGGATCGATTAAAGTCACTGTTCGCGATGATTAAATGGGCGGGTGTGTCGATGACGTGTCCGCCTCTCATTCGACGCCACGTCAGACTGTCTGATCATCGCGAACAGTGATTTCAAAGGTGCTGCATAGTAAGGAGATAGAGATGAAATTTAGTTCATTTTTCATTAGATTACGAACACTACCCAGCAAGGTTTGTGAATCAATAAAGATCGCAGTTTCCCTTTGTTTCACTTTACGTCATTCGTCACGCGACTTGCGACAGAACNATGAGGCTGCCAGTAATCTGGGATCCTAAACTAATGATATATCCGTACAAAAAAGAAGTTTTATTGGTTACCACATCTAACAATGGTGCCATTTTCACTCGACAACATTTGTGACTATCATTTGAGGCTTCGTTTACTTATCAGTCAGCTCTCAATGGGTGATTACTCCGAGATGAAGATCAACAGATTGAGATATTCAATCATAGGCATAAGCATCGGTGCATATTGAATACCACTTGCACTGCCCGGTCAGTCCTGAGTCGAACTTCGTTTTCAAAGAAGCACTTGCCCTAACGAAGGGGCGGCTGGTTAGCCAATTACTATAACTTTGTCATTAGAAAAACGGAGTTTACCGCGCGATCTGACTGGTTTGATTAGTAGCTCAGGCGACGGTATATTCGATAACAGTTCTATTCTGAGAGGACATGATGAATGTGACTTTCTTGTTGAGATTTCTATTTTTACTTTGTCTTCGAACGACATTACCAATCTTCAGGATACTGAAGAGGAGTTGCGCCCAGAAAGTCTGCGAAGTGATACTGAACACAGGTAACCATCCGACGCTCGAAATGTGTTCCACTGTAAACTGTCTATATTTTACTGTAAATGTCTCTCTATAGTGTGGGTTCGAACTCACAATGTTGGGCATTAGCGGCTCTTCGAGAACATTGTTGTTCTTTTTCCGTTGTAATGATGGTCACAATGATTTTCACATGTTCTGACTCCATCGACCATCGTTGATATTGTTGTTCCTACTGTTCAGCAACATTAGTAGGCGATATCTAGGGAATTATTAACTGAATAGGTTGCTTATATATAGAGGGGGTCCTTGCGAGTAGAATCACAAAAGAGTCCTTCCGAAGGATCGAAAAAAAGAAAGGTCTGGCATTGCTCGGCCTAAAAGACCGTTTATACTAGAAGATTAATCGATGCCTGAGCGGGTGAGTGGATTTCCTCCTGCACTTCATTTATTGTAATGATAAGCTTACCATAAGAATAAAGAAACCCATATTTTCGATTATACGTTGGATCTCAACCATTCTTTTGAATATCTCGTGACTCTTATACTTTTCTTCCCTTCCAATGCATTTGCAAATGATATTGCTGATAAGGCAAATGCTTGTAGCAAATCAGTTTCAGCTTGCATAGCAGCTCGATACACAGCCCAGCGCCAAGCGCACCATCATCAACGATGGATGCCGAGAAAAATGAATCGAAACAACCTCCACGGAACCACCTTACCGAACGCGAAATTGCAATGGTTCGAGTTTTGCCATAATTTGAAGCCTCTTTTGGATTTGTTCTAGAGCATCTTCACGTTGCTTTTACAGATGATCTTCAATCCGAATCTCTGAGAAGTAAGAACCCGATTTCAGATAAAGCTAAAATTTATGTCATCTTCATCGCTTCCCTTGTATTAAATTCATTTTATTGCACTGTTTTTCTTCCATTTTAGGTACCACTCAACTTGGGTGGTGCATGTTTGAGTAAACATTTTGCTCTTATACCTGACGTCAATCTGTTGAGAGTTAAACTGAGAACTAATGACAAATCTTCGTTTACCAGTTGTAGTAGAAGGTGTCTTGGCTAGTACGAATATTCTTACTATGGGTTGGACCGAGTTTGGCGTGGGATGGGCATAGGTCAAGATAAAGCGCATGTGAACTGAGCTCCGTCGCCCGGGACATGAACAAATATAGGTGGTGTCACGAGCAAAGTCCTAGACTTTGTTGCATGAAGTCTAGACGCAGGGAAAATGAGAAACCTCGACCAGTGGGCGGAATGTCTTCATAAGTTCATAACCCGATTCCACAAAAGCCTGGAAGCCACACAAAAATAAAAAAAGTGGACAATGTGCATTGTGTGCTGTGCATCCCTTGGTTTAGCAAAGTTTGTCTTTGATGGGCGAGACCTGCATTCATTTCAAAAGAGTTTATAATTTCATTCAAAAAATTTCTAGATTGCTGAAAACGTGGTCAGGGGATATGGAAGAATTTTGTTGGAATCCTCAGATGAGCAGGGTTCGCTCCGAGGTGAGCGGTGCCTAAGGCAAAAATTAGTAGCTCTCTTCAACTACATTTTAGAATGCGGAGAAAATGATCAGGGGTAGAAAAAAGGGGTGGTCAAATTACCACTATGAAAAATTCACAAATCTGAGCAAAGACATTCTTAACGTTACAAGCTTGTTCTTTAAATAACGCAATCATCACTATTTACTACGTACATGTAGACAAATTGCTTCCGGCTGTCTGACCATCTGCCCAAAAGTTCGGTGGTGTTACCTGATTAAGCATCTGGAGGGGTAAATAAGTCAAGTTTGATGGGTGGGACCTCGAACAGAATCACCGGAGAAAATATGAGCTCAGGGACAGGACACGCGGTGCAGTGAGAAGAACTTGTTATGATATGTTTATTACGCTGCTAAGGCAAACGCAGTGAAAAAACAACCTTCTAAAATCAACATAATAGGCATGCGAAACAAAAGATAAAAGCAGTTGGCAAACGAGCAAACTGAAACGAAAACCATATAACACATAAAGCAACCTCAAGCCAGAGTTTAGAGAAGGACACGAGTATGAAATCAATTGATCAGTCTCAGAAAACTAGGAAAGCTTACGCTTGGTTAGAAACACTGTCATATTACGCTTATCAGTTGGTCCACCATTCCTTCGAATTACTTCAAAAATACGGTGGTCCAGGCTCAAATAAAAACTATCAATCAGCTCCTGGTCGACTTGGTGCCATGATTCGATGATCACTTTCTTCAACTCCTTGACGCCTCGGAATTGCTTGTTTCGGGCGTAGATCTTCCGAAACATGACGCCCAGACATTGACATTTTCCAATGAATCCAAGTCGGGGCTGTTCGCCGGCCAGGGCGGAAGTGCAATCCGACGCAGAAAGAACCGAGTTTGGGTGCTCCTGCTGACGTGAATTGGAGTGCTTCCTTGCATAAAAACAATATTTCGATGCCGATTCTGACGCCAAAAAGGGAGAAGTGCACAGCGCATAACACTTCAATGGAAGGACGAGTTCTTCTTCTTTGGTACAAAACATAAGGTCTACTCGATGAAATCGCTGCATAACTCCTCCTCCTTTGAATTCCTGTCTAAAAAGCTGAAGTTTCTCCTCCTTCAGTTCGTGCCAATAAAATCGGTTCCCGCCTGCACCATCACCACTGAACTTTTTTTCCATCGGAATAAACGACCTGAAAAACCAAAGACACAGACACAAAGACAAAAACCATCAAGAAAAGGAAAGTCAAATGTCAGCACATGAGGAACGCCTTATTCCACTCGGTTCGGCTGCACCTTCTGGCGAAAGCGACCCGATCTTCCCGAGATCTTCTTGTCATAAAGGGCGCCTTATACATTTTCCGCTTGACGATGGAATTGGACTTTTTGTCACCTTCCAAACAGTGTTTTTTGAGACATTGAGGGCAGAGACGATCGGATTTCCATACAGGACTTGGTGGAGTTCGACGCTTCCCTCAGAATAGGCGCCTGTCGCCGTCGAACAGTAGCGAAGGACGTCCAGCACTCCTTCTGGTTCTATAGGCCTCAGTGTTCTTGATGAAATTATCCACAACTGTGTGTATCGGCCCAAATCTCGCGAGATACTGCGATTCAAAAGCCCCTGCTACCTTTTCGCGAGGATCGACCATTCTCGGATTCGAAAGCAACATACCTCTTCCCAGTGCCTAAAAATGAAAAACGTTACATAAACGAAGCAATTTCGTTGTGTTGAACTAAAAAACGACACGAAGGCATGAATTGGCAGTATCATTAAGAGACGTTGGAAAAGTACCCCTCACTGAAAAACTGGTCAAAAAAAATGTTTGTGTTTTCGAATTGGAATTTGGTGATAATCTGCTAATTGCAATTCAGATTTGACACATTTTTAACTTTGGCTTTTTTTCAGAAACATCGTATACTGTGAGTTTTTGGGAAAATGAGAGGTGGCTGTATCATTCGGAGACGCACTGTATTTTACTTGAGTAGAAGACGGCTGCGAAGCTCAGAACGATTGCTCATCTTTGTCTGTTTTATCGAAGTTTCCTCTACACGGTGGATAAGATAGTCGTTCATAAGGCTTTTTACAGTAGCGCTCAAAATTATTCGGCCAACTTTAACTTGCCGTAACTTTTTTCTCAGTGGAGCAAATCACATGAAATTATGATATGTTTAGCTGAAGCATATTTTACACTGACCAACACTACTTGACTGCAAAACAGCTATTTCCACATACTGGGGAGGCGTTTGTAGACTGTGCTGAAAGCAAGATTGTGACGTCTGCAATTATTCCGACCTTATGTACGTTTTCCTTCTCTTGTGGGTTCGACATTAGTGCTCGTACACCTGAGACATGGCAACAAAGAAAAAACTTTTAGAAGGACCATCATTCGTATTTCCCGGTGATTTTAAGTTTAAGCCCTTTCGGATATCTGGAGAATGATCAGATTGCAGGTTAATAGTAGCAAATATTCACGCTACACCTATGTTACACATATTGAAATTTCGCTTGATTAGATCCAGTAGGAAAGAAGTTATTTCTGAAAAATACGAGTGAAGAAGCATTTCACCGAATACTTTCGAGCGCTACTGTATATGCAGTCTAAAACATCAACACATAGATCGTGATTATTGCGCCACTTAAGTCGATGGCATGTAGCAATGTCAGAAGTTGTGAAAGACATTTATTTGCAAAATAGATGATATGTTCCTTCAATAGTGATTATTCAATGAATATGCGTTTTGCCAGTTGCCCGGAAACGGCATACGCAATCAGAAAATGCTGGAAGATGTTCGGTGGAAATGCTAAGCAAGCCACCTTATCACGCAGCTCACACTGATCATGAAATGATAAGACAAATACCCAGAAAGTCCAGAGAGGTTAACCACATCAGAGAATGACAAGGGTCACCGTAAACATATAGTTAACAATGATAGGAATCACAACGATTGGGAACAGGGCGATGCATTCGGGATGGAAGGCCCGTCGAGCACGATCATAAGGAAAGGGAGGCAGATCGCCAGAAGGTGAGAGGTCCCGTCTTCGATATAGCAAATTCAGTGAACTAGCACTCAACGGTGGCAGCCGTATTTGCCGTACGGTTGCAGCTATCGCTGTGGGAGAACCCAATGCAGCGGACTACTCAGACCGTCGAATCGACACTCGACGCTCGGTTCATGTACTTTGAAACAGAAGCAGGTCGATCCGCTTCGCTCAGCATGGGGTCATGGTTCACGCCATAGATCTTGATTGCTTTTCGTCCCATTCGTTGCAATAACTCTGACGAGACCTTGTGCGCTGTTCGCAATGAGGTGTGCCATTCCTTCAGTGAAATCTCGTCCTGAAATTGAGACTCGTTAAGCACTCTGCTACATCGGTTGTGGTGAAAGAAATCAAAGGAACTGGTCACAAATCAAAGATTTATGTCGATAAATGGATGAGTTGCTAATTTGTGTGGTTTGGTTCTGTAGAGACATCTCGTCCAACTATCGAACTGCATTCTACCTCATTCCTGGTTTTCTGTTCGATTTTCAAAATTTTCTTCTTGCTAGAGAAAATGCTTACTTTGAGATCAATCACAATCCCCAGAAGAACTGGAACGAGTAATTTTGCAAATACTGATTATCACTACAACAGAGGGCAGGCATAGGATATCCATTGCGGAAGTAGTAACTCACCGAATTTGTCAAGCTAATCCTGGGTTCCTTGAATCCATCCCGTAATTTCACGACGATCGCGTTTTCACCTTTGACCGTCTGCAAGTCGACACAAACGTCCTCGATTTGGTCCATAAATACCAGCTGGAATCGCTAAATTCAATACCGAACAGGTTACACTTAAACGAACTCACCTCGGGCTTCCCACTCAGTGACTCCGGGTAGAGTTCAAGCCGAGACGGGTAGAGCTTGCCATATCGGGTTTGCCATGCTGAAGTGAATGGTCCACCAAGCTTTTTGATGTAGCCATGAACAATCACATCCGAGTCTGAAAAGGGCGCTTTGCTGGCTGAGAAAACCTCGAGGAAGAAAAATTATCAGATTTAGAAAGCGCTAAGTTCCAATGACTTCCGCAAACATTTGAATAGGACAATTTGCCCCCACAAATTGGCGGAATGGGCCCGAACCATGGAAGATGTGCCAACTTCGTGTCACTATATAGGCAGTGCTTGGTGCAGGTCAGGGCCAGTTTAAGAGCTCATAATCCACACTTCGACTTACTCTCCATACAATCGCTATGGGGACTGGCAGTTACTGGTGGGCATCCATCAAATCCATTAACTGAACCCAGATTGAAGGGCTTGGTAGGAAGGGGGCAAAGAGGATACAAAGGGAAACGAGCAGGAGGGAAAAATATGTAATCCGTGTTTTGATCCCTTGGCCATGATGGAGCCACTATCTCTACCTAAACTGGGCGTTTATATCAAAGGCTTAGTTCCTATAATTCTAGGGTTTCGAGTTCGAGACGAATTAAGGAATAGATTGTTCAAAATACTTTGGAAAGGGCGAAAATGCGAAAATAGGCATATTCAAAGAAATATGAAGCTTCAAAATAGTAGTAAAATTTGGTGTTCGACGAAAAGGAGATGACAAAAGCTGCTTTAAAATGCATTTGGACGAGCTGTTCAAATGCGTATGCCATCACTTACAGCTGGCTACAGCAAGCTGTCTGCTTGCAACGTGTGAATCACGGTGCGAATAGATGTAAACGTCGGCTAAGCCGATTTTGGGGCCCTTATTACACCCTATCTAGGGTGTTTTTTCGACATGACGGTGTCCTTTGTCTTATCCTGGGTGTCACTGGTTCACCGTAGGGGGAGATTTCAGAAAGCATTTTTATCGAGAACGGTGCCTCCGAAACCGTTTACTTGAAGTGAAGGGCTTTCCCAGGGCCAAGTTTCTTCCTTATAAGCTCGACTCACACAGCAAATAGTCTGTAATAGAAGGAGGTTTGTTTTGAAATTCTCTGCAATTAGGTTAATTTTTTCACTTCACTGATAAACCATTTACTACATTTATTTCCTTTTTTTCAACGCCACTTCATTTGCTATCAAAACAATGAATTCGGAATCGTCTGCAACTGGAGCTTCGATGATCAGTAAAAAGTATTGCAGGGTGAAAGCGCTTGAGAATATTGTAAGTACTCACCTTTCTCGTCAACATTCATCTTCGCCTTTTGCTTCGATCGCTTTTTGGTCTCAGCTTTGTCGGCGTCCTGGTTAACGACCTATAAGTCATCATATCAAATTCATTATCGAATGAATGAATCTACGCAGAAGGGTCAAGAGAATTGCTAAAATTTCGCCCGACAATTACGAAGCCGGTTATAATTAAATCCACAAGCAGCATCACTCATGGTTCAAGACAGCAGAACCAACACTGCAGTAATAATTGGGCCACAATTACACGTGCATCTCTATTTATTTGATAGTAGACTTGTATGGTGCATCCTGGGTGAGCTTCGCTGCGCGCGTCCGTCGAAACTAGGTCACGCCGCAGTCGTCGCATGCGGCGGTGAGTCCGCGATACTTGACGGACGTCTCAATTGCCAATGGGGCATACGATTTGCGTTTGGTCCACGGCAGTCAGCTCAAAGAGAGGATGACACGGACAAGTGCAAGTCCTTCGCTCCACTGACAGTTGGTGGTACTGTAATGTCACCTCGAGCCCTCAATGTGGTGCGCCGCGCGCGGAGTGGGCGGGGTGACCTACTTTCGGCGGACGTGCGCAACGGACGTTCCCTGGTGCATCCTGGACAATGTGTTCCCTAAAGGATCTCTCTTCGACCTTAATATCAAATATTATACCCATTTCCAGATAGTTTCCCCATTCAAATCTTATGTAGTATAGGTGTGCAGTCTGTTCATAGACATCCGGAACTGTTTCTCCACCAACTTGCCTATGTCGTCTAGGCCAACTATACTTGCAATCATTCATGATATCATTCCTATAAATCATCATATCAATTTCAATATCGAATGAATGACCCTGCGCAGGAGGGCCAAGAGGCTCTTGCAAAATAAAAGCGTAACAAATTGTCTGTTCTTGAGACCCAGTTTACGACAAAAATGATATCTGAGATTTCTCCATTGGATGAATTCGAGGACCCTTCGTATACCATATTTGACGCTGGTAGGTCGGAGGACGGCCTAGTTAGAGCGGTAAAAAGCTCAAAGATTGTACGTGTGTATCCTCGGACGAGTTCCACCGGCATTGTAGAGACTGCACTGATGACAAGGGAACCCATTTAGGAAGTTCAAACAACTTGTCATGACTCACAGCAACAGTAAAAGGCAGTTCTGCACAGTTTTGGCTTGTTCTAATCAGCCCTTTGCGCAATTGTAACAACTGAAATCTCGTCCGGAAACCCCTTCCATGTTATTTCTATTATGGCAATCTCGTCCAACCTCTATTTTCCCTACTTTTGAAGAGCCATATTTCTCTCAAAATAGGCGAATTCTCTCTCGTTCTTCACTACCGATCAACTATTCCCAGCCTACAATTCCCCTTCTCCAGTGTAAAGGAGTACCTCAAAATTATCGTGAACTGTGCCATTGAAGGTATGCAGACGAGCAAAGGCGTTACAATAAAAAATTTCATGTTACTCAGAAAATTAGCGCTTTTCCCAATGTCCAACACAGTCTGCATTCCATTCGAGCATTTGTGCATTCCTAGCCGTAGGAAAATAGATTAAATGCCAGCAGATCATAATTTGGAAAACGAATAATGGAACACAGAGTCTGCCAGAAGTTTTTGGTTGGTTATAAGCCTCTTCAGGAGAAAGCCGAAATAACTGGTTATCAAAAATTAGTAGAAATCAAACCTTACCTCGAAAATGGTTTCCGCAATTTCGTTTTGCCATCGCTCTGATATTACAATATTGAAATTCTTGTAGAGATCACTGTCGGAGTCGGCTAGCTGAACAAAACAAGCTCACCTACTTATGATAACCTATAGAAAACAGTTTAAATAACAGTAGTATTCTGATAAGACATTATTAGGCCCATGAAGGAGATAACTTAGGTTGCCGTCTTCGACCATCCCGGAATCCTCACGCTTGGCCATCTTCGGCAGCCGTAAAGATTTCGATGTGTACCCTGTCTTCTGACGGGCATATGAATGATCCAAGGGGCGAGCATGTTCCAGTGTATGCACTCATATAAAATCTTACAAACTAGGTGGAACTGCAAGGACGAATTATTTGGTTATCTCAGAACTCTAATGTATGAAAACTGTAAGTGACATGGCAAATTAGATGTAGAAATGAAGGTAAAAGGGAGTGCAAAACATTTGGTCGATAGCCTACAAAAATAAGATCATGCTTGATAGCGGAAACAAAAAAAGTAGCACTGTCAGAGTAGATCGTATTGTTGTCAACGATCTCTCCCTCTCCTGTCCTGTATCGTAATCGGTCAATTGAGCGGTGTAAGGCTTTTACAACCCCTTCTGAATACCCTAGTAGAGTTTCAGCCTTCGAGCTCATGAATTTTCTGATTAGGATAAAATAAAGGATAATGCATTTGGCGTTAATCAATCCCGTCTGAAGGATGCGCCCCCGCACTCGTCTTCCATCCAGAGTCATAGTGGGGTAATGAAAGCGTATGTGGCCTTTACAATGACTTGCGGTGGCCAACCGATGTACAAGTCAGTGCTTTNATCCTCCCAGACGAGTCTGGTACCAATTACCCGACCCCTGGGGGATGGAGGACTTGGTTGACCTAGGCGGGCATCGATCCGGGATTCGAACCCCTGACCGTGCGCGTGATATAGTGCGCCACTTGCCACTACACCACCTCCACCAATTTTCCGATTATCTCAAGTAATTGAATGGCAAACCTATTCAACGACCTCTCCTAGTGCCTATCAACTTCTTTTGTTCTCCCTCCCGGAGCTGAACTGATCACATTGCCAAGGTTCAGATAGAACTCTTCCTTTTCGTGCTCGGGGCATCCGGGTTGTGGTGCCCACTTGCATATTGTCTGGTATCCCTCATTCGTCTATCCCGTCACTACATCCATGAACTCCCTTACAACTACTACTATTGACACAATTCCAGGCAATAGTGGAGGAAAGCAATGCTCATTGGAGCAGAAAGTATCTGAGGAATGTCAACCATCCAAAAAGAGCACAGCTTTAGTGTTTAAGTAATTTTTCCTAATGGATCAAATACCCCTAGAAGAGCTCGAGTGCACCTCTTTCGAGTGTTTTCTGAGTCACTTTCACGATTTTTTGAAACTACCCGTCTAGTTCGTTCGGAGTAAGGCCTTGTCACTTCTGCTCTACAAAAAATAAATCTGTCTCATACCTTTACTCCTTTCACTTCGTCGTCGTCAAAATTACCAATGTCGAAAGCATCGGCAGCGTTCACTTCACCTCGGGGTGGTATCAACGGTGGCGTCATTCGACGCAAATAAACAGTCTGCCAGTCGACGTCGCGGAAGAATGGGTGTTCCTTCACTTCAGAAGGTCTGTAGAATAAATGAGAACTTCGCAACTTAGTAAGCCACCAAACAGATAGAGCCGTCTTGAATGAAACTCACCCCCGCCCTTTACATCCGAGCCTATCGGGCACATCTCGCTTCAGAAGCCCTTCCAATAGGTCGCGACAGTCAGGAGAAAGTCCTTCGTTGGGTAGTTCGATGTCTTGTGTCAAAGTCATCTTATCGATTTCATTTTTATCCTTGCTTTTGTGCTGCCGGAATGGGGAATGACCCTGAAAGGGTGGCCAGTGAGTTCTTTCTCTGGCCACATACTGGTATGTACAGTCGCTCACCTTCAGCAGTTTGTAAAGCATGCAGCCTAGAGAGAACCAATCGGCAGAAGAGTCATAGGCTACACCTTTGGCCAACACTTCCGGTGCCATGTAGCCATGAGTGCCACTGAAGTTTTTGATTGGTAGCGAATTCTGTAGAAGGAAATGCTACAAGTGCAAACACTTACACACTGGCGTGGGGCTTCTTTTTTGAAAAATCGCAGGCTAGGCCAAGATCAGAAACACGGACCTGAATTGCCAGTAATTGGAAGGTATGCTCAACCGTTTGTTGGGACTGAGGTGGGGGAGAGGGAAGGGGGAGGGAAGGGGGTGAGGGGTGGGTTCGACTCTGATGTATGACAAATGGAATATAAATCCCTGCACATTTCACAACTTGTGTAAGAAAGCACCATCACAATCGCGACGTCGTTGAAAATACTTGGACCTTGGGTAGCCCGGCCCAACTGTTCTTAGAGGCTCCCCCATTTGTTCAATCATCAAGAGGGCGTTTTCCTCCTGAACGCTAAATATTTCCCCCTGCTTGCTTTCTAAAATTTGTTCGCATCTCTACTTGCTTGAAAATCCACATCCGGAAATCTAAAGTAAGTGAAAAACCAAAAAAGGAGATTCACCGTAGAAGAATCTATTCCCTTGCTAGTGACAGGCGAAAAAGAATGGCCCGTTGTTCGCCCAATGAACTCTTCCAATCCCCACCGAGTTCGACGACTAGAGTTTAAGATGCGATGACCCGGCGAAATCTACTATTTGACGATCTATTAGCTGATGAGGGAAGAAGGTTATAAGTGCTGACGTCAGCCTGCGTGGTAAAAGTATAGTATTTCCAGGAACTGGTTCATGCGGCAAAGCTCTTTTCACTAAAAGGGGCATTAAGCTGGCCTTAATTGATCCTCTTTAGGATGCGCCCCTCACCCAATTTCCGTTCAGAAACGTAGTGGCGTCATTGAATGCATACAATGATTTGCGGTGGACAGCTGATGTAGAAGGCTGTGGTTTCATGCTCTCAGAAGATTCTAGTTCCAAGGAACCGACTGCCACGGGAAGGAACTTAGTCGATATGGGCAGGTTTCGATCCTAGAAGCATGCGTGCGGTATTGCGCTTCACTTCCCACCACATAACTCCGCTTATTTAGCAGAATGGGATATGATAATATTGTTGACGGTGTAAGCGATGTATCGCTATGGAGGGTCTTGCTTGACTACCTTTTTTGATGACGCAAAACGCCGCCTTTATATGATGTTGGTCACAAGGTAAATTACCATGTTACTGAGTAAAT